GTTGGGTTTCCTGCATCCCACGTGAGAGTGCCTGGGTTCGAGTCCCAGCTCTGCTTCTGATCCCACCTTCCTGCCACTGTGCGCCCGGAGAGGCTGTGGTAATGGCTCCGGTACTTGGGTTGCTGGAGACCTAGACTGAGTTTCCTGATCCTGGTTCCTGCCTGGCCCAGTTCTGGCCCTTTCAGGCTTTGGGGGAGTAAACCAGTGATGGGGAGTTCTCTTTGTCTCTCTCTCTCTCTCTTTGTCTCTCTCTCTCTCTGTTTCTATGCCTTTCAAATAAATTAATTAATTTTTAAAACAGAAACAAGTGTCTAAAAAAAAATGTGTGCTCTGTCTGAATTGTGACCCGCTCAGCAGATGGGATTCTGGGTAGACACCTGGCATTACGCGTATGGATCACACTGGGGAAAACTCGGGGTTTGAAGTCTCGAGTTTTATTCTTTGTTGATTCCTCCAGCTGCATTTACAGTTACTCTGGGCCAAGTGCTGGAGACTTTTGTAAGTTTTGCTGGTCCTGTGAAATTTAAAAAAATAAAATTATGGAAGAGGAATTCCCCGCAGTGGCACTTGGCCCAGCAGGCAAGGGCCTGGGGGGACGCTCGCCTCGCCTCCCCTCCCGCATTGCCACGCCCGTGCTGTGCTCCTCTCCTCACACCAGCCTCTGTTGCTGGGTCCCTGCCACCCACGTTGGGAGACCTGGACCGAGTTGTCAGCTCCCGGCTTTGGCCCGGCCCACTTCCGCGGCAGGCATTTGGAGAGTGGACCAGGCAATGGGCACTGTATGTCTCCATCTCCGTCTCTCAAGTGAATAAATGAAAATTAAAGGAAGGTTCTGGGGGCTGGCACCCTACTGTAGTAGGGTGGCGCCGGCATTCCCCTATGGATGCCAGTTCGAGTCCCAACTGCTCCACTTCTGATTTAGGTCCCTGCTAACACACCTGGGGAGGCAGTGGAAAATGGCCCAAGTGCTTGGGCCCCTGCACCCACGTGGACACTCTGATGAAGCTGTTGGCTCCTGGTTTTACCCTGGCCCAGGAATGAGCCAGTGGATTGAAGACCTCCCTCTCCCTCTCTGTCTCTCTCTCTCTCCCTTCGTCTCTGTCTCTCTCTGTAACTCTGCCTTGCAAATAAAATAAATCTTAAAAAAAAAAACAAAAAAACTCCCTTGCTATTATTTAAATTTAGGCATGTCTTTGATTTTCTTTTAATTTTATGATCGATTGCTGTACTGAACACTTTTGCTGTCTCTTATAATCTGTCCATTGCTTTTCGTAACTTCTCCAAGTAGACAATTAACAATCTGCACATAATGAGAACTTCTTCTCCTTTTCAGTCCTCGTATCTTTCTGTTGTTTGTCTTGTCTCGGTCAGAACTTGTCAACTAAAGTGAAGTGATGGTCCAGTGGAGGCAGTGGTATTCCATTCTGAGATTTTTTTTTCTTTTTTCCTTTTTTACATCTTCCCCATACTATGTTAGTCATATGTATATTGCATTTTTAATCATTAATTTTGTGAGCATTATTATTAAATTTTCTATCATCAAGCTGTTCTTAAATTATTAGAAGAAACTACTTGATGAGGGTGTATTGCTCTTTTAAATGCAAATCTGATTTGCTTTGCTAATTTTTAAGAGGGTTTTTATATTCCTGATCCCTCAGTGAGATTGGCGTGTGGTCCCCTTTGCTTGGTCGGCTGTCCGTGTTGTCTGAAGTCAGGAATTGGGTTTTCCCATTTTCGTCTGTGCTCTGGAAAGCTTCTGCCTAATCGTGGTGATGGACCTTTTGTCCTTTCTGTAAAAATATTTGGTTTCTTATAAAATACTAAGAAATCCCACCAATTAGAGTCCAGCTCTAGCAGGTCCTGGGGTTCCTGCAGGTGTGGGAGGCGTCAGCACAGGAAGACATGAGAGACACACTCACAGCAAGGCCGATGGCACGGCTCAGCCTCTCGAGCACCAGGCTTTATTTTCACATCATGTCACATAATATTTCTCACTTCCTACAATAACAAGTCTGTTGTCCATTTTCATCTCGTTACAGTTTCTTTGATTTTCAAGGGCATGTTCAGAGCATGGGTTACAGTCACAGACAGGTGCGAGACAATGGGCTGCCCACACAAGCCAAGGCCTGGAGTGCTGTCGAGCTGTGCAGAAACTGCCTACACAGGCTAGAATAGTACCTTCCTAATCTACTCTACCAGAAGCCCCAAGGTCAAAGCAGGCCCTTTTTAAAATGTGTCCCCTCTTTTGCAGTTCTTTCTGTAACTCTTTCATTTCTATATTATACTGACCTAAACGTTCACTTAGATCTGTTCCACAGTTTTGACATCCTAACCATTGTTGTATTTGTTGCATATATTGAATTAAAGCATATACCAGGGAGCCTGTTGCCTTTTAATTCTTTTCCACAAACAGCTCAACCTTGCATAAAGCATTAACCCCTTCTCCTACACTAACATTCTGCTTGATTAAAATTCTACAAAGCAATGGACATTTTGGGGATTATGAGACTAAGCACTCTTCTCTAAAATTAGGAATACAGCAGTCATTAGTGGGGCTACCAGGGAGCTCCGGCTTTCTTATGCAGAGTGTAGTTCCCAGCAAACCTAAAGCCACCAAGAGAACCACAGCTGTCTTTCTCACGCCTTGCTGAGACAGACCTTCTGCTGGGACCTTGTCGGCCAGCCCAAGTTGCCTTGGTCTCACCAAACCACCTTTGCCATTTTGGTGTATTTCATTCTATATTGTTTTTCCTCCATTTGGGTGACTTGTCTTAGAAGATTTATTTTTTATTCGAAAGGTGAGGAAGCAGAGAGAGAGAAACAGAGAGAGAGAGAGAGAAAGAATCAATCTCTTCTATCCACTGATTCATTCCCCAAATAGCCACTGTAGTCAGCTCTGGTCCAGGTTGAAGCCAGGAGCCAAGAGCCCTACCTGGGTCTCCCATGGGGGTGGCAGGGACCCAGGTATTTGAACCATCATCTGCTGCCTGCCTGGTATGTTAGCAGGGAGCTGGATTGGAAGCAGAGTAGTCAGAACTTGAATGGGACTCTGATATGGGATGCGGGTGTTTGAAGCAGTGGCTTAACCCACCGCACCACCACACCTACCCCAACATTGGGTTTTTGACTTTAGGGTTTTTTGTTTTGTTTTGTTTTAATTAGTTATGATGTCTGTCTGTATTAACAAGTGGAGATTTGAGTCACTTGTCATATTTTTAATGGCTTTCATCTTTTGAATGTTTCTGGTCATTTTGTAGACTGTTCATAGGTCTGGTGTGTGTGTGTGTGTGAATAGAATCTCTCTTTTTTTTTTTTTTAAAGATATTTTTATTATATTTGAAAAAGAGACAGGGGGAGAGATCTTCCATCCGCTGGTTCACTACCCAAATGCCTGCAACAGCCAGGACTGGGCCAGGCCAAAGCCTGGAACTTCGCGGCAGAGTGGCGATGACAGGACTCTCGTGGAAGCAGCCGGCTCTCTGTAGGTCAGCACAGTCACACTAGGGAGAAGCAGCTGCGAACCAGGCGCTGGCCAAGGGCCACGCACACCAAGCAGCCCTCCAGGTTACCAGCTGCCAAGAACTCTGACTTTATTCTGCTACTTTTGGGAACCAGGGCAGAATCACCGGGGCTTGTAGGGGAAATACTGCAGACTGGTAACTGGAAACTGAGAATACAGGTTTCCCACGTGCTGCCTCTCAGGACGGAAGCTGGGACGACAGCCCCAGGGCTCCCGTAGGAGCTGCAGGCATCACAAGTCGTCCTAACCACCGTGCGCTGTTTGCTGGCTTGCTTGTTTTGTTCTCTACTTTTTGAACGAGGAGAGACCTGCTCCCCTTGGCACCTCCCCACAAGCTCTGTGGGTGCCTCTTCGGCTCAGGGTATCTGAATAAAGCTGGACTGCTCTTGGCGGCTGACACCGTGGCGGGCTGCTCTGGGCTGCTCCTCCTCAGTGAGGGCCTGCTGATCTAGGGAGTGCCTCCTGCTCCCAGCCGAGTCCTGTAAACTCCGCTCTTAGCAAGGTGGCCAGCGAGACCCGTGTCGAGGTCTTCTGTCTTTTTTCAGACACCTCTCTGGTTTCATCCGTGGTCGAGATTTTACTTTCCACATTTCCAAATTCCCACGGGGCCCTTTCCCCACCCCGCTGCCGCCCTTTCTAATGTCCCAGCCTAGAATCACCTCCGGGTTTTTGGAATGATGGGAGGAGATCCACGCAGACCTGCTGGCAGGCGCGTGTGGTTAGCATTCCTCTTGTGTAGGAAGAACACAGCGCTGTAGGAATGTTGTGAGTACAACAGCGTGAGGCCAGTCGGGAGGGTAGCGGGGCCTGACACCTGTCATCTGAGACGTGGTTCAGGGCACTCTGAAGACATGGAGAGCACGATTTCCTGCCTGGCTCCAAGGTAGAAAGAAACACAGGATCAGGCCGGCGCCGCGGCTCACTAGGCTAATCCTCTGCCTTGCGGCGCCGGCACACCGGGTTCTAGTCCCGGTCGGGCGCCGGATTCTGTCCCGGTTGCCCCTCTTCCAGGCCAGCTCTCTGCTGTGGCCAGGGAGTGCAGTGGAGGATGGCCCAAGTGCTTGGGCCCTGCACCCCATGGGAGACCAGGAGAAGCACCTGGCTCCTGCCTTTGGATAGGCGCGGTGCGCCGGCCACTGCGCGTCGGCCGCGGCCATTGGAAGTGTACCAACGGCAAAGGAAGACCTTTCTCTCTGTCTCTCTCTCTCTCACTGTCCACTCTGCCTGTCAAAAAAAAAAAAAAAAAAAATACAGGATCAACAGGGAGAAGCTGCGGGGACGGAATTCAGCTGGTTGGAGGCAGACCCTCAGTTCCCAGTTGCCGTTGACGTTCAGGTGACCGGGGAGACCCCCGGGAGCCCCAGGTGTGTCACTGGGCGGCTGGCATCTCCCCCAGCCCCGCCGCGCCGTCCTGAGGGGACATGGTAGGCGTGCTACCCCGCTGGACCAGCACACTCAGGAGATGTTCTTCTCTTTCCAGCTGACGGTGACCATCAGAGCTTTGCTGCAGAACCTGAAGGAAAAGATCGCCCTGTTGAAAGACTTACTGCTAAGAGCGGTGTCAACACACCAGATGTATCCGCGTAAACGTTCCCACCTCTCTCCTGGGCGGGCGGGAGGGACGGCAGTCTCATTTTAAGGAAAGAAGGAAGGAATCTGGGCCACCCAGCTTTTCCCCACAGCTTGAGGGAGACCTGGTTTCCAAAATATTGCCTGTAATCTTGATTTCTATTTTTAAAGCGTCTGTCCCGTGTTTTACAGCGAATGTGCTGGCAAAGCAAGACCTGCCGAAGGAATTCTCTCGGTTGGGTGGAACCTTTCCACAGCACAGGAGGCTGGGGCTTTGCCTCGGGGCTGTGTGCACCGAGCTGTGCCCTGTGTGGCCAGCAGCGGGGCTCCAGCAGGAAAAGCCTCCCAGGTCACCCTGCAGTCCCCAGAGCTGTCCGTGATCCATTTCTCTGTGGAGTGGCGAGCGAGCGGGGAGCGTCAGGAAGTTCACGGGAAAGGGCATTAGAGGGTGAGCTCATCTTGCTGCAGAGGCGTTTGAAATCTGTGCCTAACGAGGCGTCTTCGAAAAGCCGATGGAGGGCCAGGCATTCTGCGCAATGATGAAAGCAGCGCTTTGGCTGCCTGCATCCCAGGCCAGAGTGCCTGGCTCCACTCCCACTTCCAGCTTCCTGCTAACCCTGGGATGCCAGTGGTGAGGACCCCACCGACGGCCACCCATGTCGGACCCACATGGAGTTCTTGGCTCCTTGTTTCAGCCTGGCCCAGCCCTGGTTGTCCTGGGCCTCTGGGAGGTGAACCGGTAGATGGGAGATACCTCTCTCTCAAGATTTATTTTATTTTATTTGAAAGGCAGAGTTACAGAGACAGACAGGTCTTCTTTCTGTTGGTTCCCCAGATGGCCGCAATGGATGGAGCCATGCCAATCCCAAGCCAGGAGCCAGGAGTCTCTGCCAGGTCTTCCACACAGGTGCAAGGGCTCAAGGACTTGGGCCATCTTCTACTGCTTTCCCAGGCCATAGCAGAGAGCTGGATCAGAAGTGGAGCAGCCGGGTCTTGAACTAGCACCTATATGGGATGCCGGCACTGCAGACGGTGGCTTAACCCACTAAGCCACAGTGCTGACCCCAGGAGATATCTCTGTCTCTGTCTCTCTGCCTTTCAAATAAAATAAACAAAACTTTTAAGAAGTTTTATGGAAAATATATGTTACAAAAAGCTGCATGGATTTCAAACTATTTTGCACCAAAATAAACTCAAACTCAGGTTTTAATTCCATCCATCTGTGAACTTTCTGAAGTACCCTTGTTCTGGCAGAAACCACACCTCTCTTCCCTGTGTATGTTGATTACCGAGATGAGACTGACTTGTCTTCTTAGTGTTCTGATGGCATCGCTACGCTCTGGTTTGGGAGTTTTGGGGTTGAAGGGTGGGACTGGCTTGAAGCAAGGTGTGCCATCATCTCCACCTCCTACCAACATCCTCAAGTGTTAAAACCTTTTATTTTTCTTTCTTTTTTTTTTTTTTTTTTGGACAGGCAGAGTGGACAGTGAGAGAGAGAGAAAGAGAGAGAAAGGTCTTCCTTTTGCCGTTGGTTCACCCTCCAATGGCCGCCGTGGCCGGCACGCTGCGGCCAGCGTACCACGCTGATCCGATGGAAGGAGCCAGGTACTTATACTGGTCTCCCATGGGGTGCAGGGCCCAAGCACTTGGGCCATCCTCCACTGCACTCCCTGGCCACAGCAGAGAGCTGGCCTGGAAGAGGGGCAACCGGGACAGAATCTGGCGCCCCGACCGGGACTAGAACCCGGTGTGCCGGCGCCGCAAGGCAGAGGATTAGCCTAGTTAGCTGCGGCGCCGGCCAAAACCTTTTCTTAAAAAATTTTTTTTGGTAATCTGATTCGTATAAGAAAACACATGTGGTCCATTACCCACACGAACCTTTAACCCTGAGTTTACGTTGATGTGAAAGTCGACCTCAGGTTGTTTTTCTGTGAATCCTTTCTCTGCATTGTCGGTAGTTCCTGCCCGAGTTCTAACTGTGTCTCAGCAAGTGAGTGCTGGCCAACTTTAAACATGGGAGAATGGGGTTCCGTAGCTTTTCAGGGAAAACAATTCAAATGTTGTAATCATTATCCCCCCACCCCACCCCCAGTACAACCCCTTATGTCACCTGGAAAGTTGGCTTAGAGTAGTTGTATGCTTTTTCAGGTATCCAATTATTAACCCACCAGGGTTTCAAATAAAAGTTGTATTTCAGTAAACAGCTGGGGCTTTATTTTTAACACAGCGATACACTTAGTCCATAACCTACCTTCCCTCTGGTGTTGTTTGTTACGCCACAGTTAGTTTACCATGTAAAGATTTTTTTCATCCTGCCCAGGTCTTCATAGGTAGACCTCAAGTCGTTGCAGACGGGCGGGGCTGTTTCCTCCATGTTCAGGGGTCCTGGTGTGCAAACGCATCTTAGTGTCGCCTAAAGACGTATATTAGAAAGGCAACTAGATATTACTTCATGGCATGATAGTATTAATTACATACTCACTAAATTCCATTAAGGCAACTAATTATTATTTGTCTTATTTATGTGGCAAGAACAATATATGAGAGTGCTTCAAAAAGGTCATGGAAAGTAGGATTGAAAGATGGGTTTATTTGGGGGAAAGAAACTTTGAAACTCATGCACACAAGGAATTTTCAAAAAAAATTCATAGAAAATGTGTAGTATGGAAAAATTTGCATGGATTTTTAAAAATTTTGTGTCAAAATATGCTCATCTTTTACTTGTTTTTCATGGACTTTTTGAAGTACCCTGGCACACATTAAGAACTCTTAACTGCTTTTTTAGATTAATGATTTCTACTAGCTGTTAATTATAGAGTACTAGCATGCCACAATGATAATTGGCTTTGTTCTTCTAAATGCTTAGTCTGGCCATCTGTTGAAATCTCACAGATTTTTGGTTTTGTGGTAATCTCAGAATTACTTGATTTATTTATTTATTTATTTATTTGAAAGTCAGAGTTATACGGAGAGAGGAGAGGCAGAGAGAGAAGTCTTCCATCCGATGGTTCACTCCCCAGTTGGCCACAATGGCCGGAGCTGCGCCGATCCGAAGACAGGAGCTTCTTCCAGGTCTCCCACACAGGTGCAGGGGCCCAAGGACTTGGGCCATCTTCTTACTGCTTTTCCAGGCCACACCAGAGAGCTGGATGGGAAGAGGAGCAGCCGGGGCTAGAACTGGCGCCCATATGGGATGCCGGCACTGCAGGCCAGGGCATTAACCCACTGCACCACAGCGCCGGCCCCTCAGAATTACTTTCAAAATAATTGAATTAAGCATTGTGTTAAAACACTGGACAGTTACTTAATATAAAAATATTAGGTGTCTTGATGTATATATTTCAGAATTTCCAAGGATAAATTAACAATTCAGCTGAAATATAATAGCTTTCTTTAAAATCTTATTCTTTCAAATACTTGATCTATTTACGCTACACCCCAAACCAGGGATGGCATTCAGATCATCCACCCCAAGGGGGCGCTCATCAACCTCTGTATTTTCAGGGAGGCCATTTTTCTTTTAACAGAATGAGTAGGAGGTAGCATCTCTATTATGAAGGCTCTTTTTGATTCTCTTGTCCCCCACCTACCTCTCCTCTGTCATCCCAAGTCTTTTTTAATAATTCCAGGGCAGTTGTCTTCCAGATTTAAGATACGAGTAGCTACAACTTCACATATTTTTTGCACCAAAATAAACTCATCTTTTCATTCCATTTTTTTCCACCCTGCAAACCTTTGAACCCAAGAACCTCACATTGTGAGTTTGTTTTGGTGGTCTCTTTATGAAAAAAGTATTGAGGCCGAGTTAAAGTCTGCACCACGTGTCACTGGTGAGGCTGAAAAGAGAATCTCCCGTTTGGCAGAGGGGATAGTTTACCGCGAGAAGCAGCTGGGCGAGCGTGGTAACTTGTGCTGGACACACAGCCGGGAAGGAGAGCCTGATCCAAACCCCAGAGTCAGCTGTGCAGGGGCTGAGTCCTCCAAGACTGGCCATGGCGGCCCCTTGGCACCTGGCGTGGCTTCAGCCTGGATTCTCTGTTAACTGGCACGTTGCTGTGAGCCCAGACAGATCCTGGGGCACCTCCTCACCCATCAGGAAGATTAAACAGTGCTCACTGTGGTTTATTAGGTATACTTTATGGCGCTGTTATTCTTGGAAAAAGTTGTGTCCATAGATCACCAAGAGAGTGACTTTTTAATCCTGTTTTTGAGGCATAATTAATGTTGGGCGCTTTGTTTCATGCGAATATTTGAATACTGCATTTCTGTACTGTGCTGGGAACTGAGAGTTTATGGTACTTTTCATCATAAATTTATTCCTGTCTGTGTTCATGAAGTTTTCCAAGGAATCCTGGAAGTTGCCAGAAAGATAAGTCCTATGAAAATCCTTTTTTTTTTTTTTTTAAAGATTAATTTATTTGAAAGGCAGAGTTACAGAGAGAAAGAAGGAGAGATGGGGAGAGGAGTTCCATCTGCTGGTTTACTCCTCACATGGCCACAGTGGCCAGGGCTGGGCCAGGCTGAAGCCAGAGGCCAGGAGCATTCATCCGGGTCACCCACGTGGGAGGCAGGGGCCTAGGGACTTCAGCCATCTTCCACTGCTTTCCCAGGCACATTAGAAAGGAGCTGGCTCAGAAGTGGAGCAGCTGAGACTCGAACCAGTGCCCATATGAGATGCTGGCACTACAGGCGGTGGCTTAACCTGCCATGCCACAGCGTCGGCCCTTGGCAGTGTCTTTGAGATGAGAATTATGATTGAGAAATTAGAGTTGAGAAAAGGCGTGTGCTATGAGAGGCTGTGTGCAAATGCAGGTAGTGTAAAAATGTGCTTAGAGTCAGCTTTGCTGAAGCCGGCGGACTTTGTGTTGGCTTTTCAAAGGCAGTACCTTTTCTCCTTTAAAGAGAATAAAAATAATTTCTTTACCAGGGGGTTCAGTATCAAAAGATATTTTGGTTTCCTGGAAGAAGGATTAAAGAAATATTTTTTAAAAGATTTATTTATTTATTTGAAAGTCAGAGTTACACAAAGAGAGAAGGAGAGGCAGAGAGGTCTTCCATCTGCTGGTTCACTCCCCAGATGGCCACAACAGCTGGAGCTGTGCTGATCCGAAGCCAGGAGCCAGGAGCTTCTTCCAGGTCTCCCATGCGGGTGCAGGGGCCCAAGGACCTGGGCCATCCTGCGCTGCTTTCCAAGGCCATAGAGGAGAGCTGGATTGGAAGTGGAGCAGCTAGGACTTGAACCCGTGCCCATATGGGATGCTGGCACTGCAGGCAGTGGCTTTACCCGCTATGCCACAGTACTGGCCCCTGGAAATATTTTTTTTAAAAGTCCATAAATAACTTTGCTCAACTCTTTTTTTTTTTTTTTTTTTGGGT